AAACTTATTCACAGTTCATCTTGTATCCAAACAGCACGCACAAGCTGCCTCGTAATGTTAGCAATAACAATGTGCCATTGTGTCTGTCTTTACTTTCAGATGAGTATGATATCACCTTAGGTCCGCCTGAGAGCTGTGCGGATTCTTCCTCTATGCCCAGTAAGGCCTAGCGCGCAATCAGGCATATATTCAAGTTGGTGAAGAACAACCACTGTGAATCACTGCTCGAATAAGCTAAGGGTCTACATGTTTATACAGTCATGTACCTTTCATCCTATAAGTTATGTGGAGAATGAAGATAACTGCTATTCGTTCGAATAAAGGAATATGTTCTTGAAAAAAAAGAATGTGCCCTGGGCACTTGCTGCAGTTGCAACATCAGGACAATGAATTCAAAATCTAGGCTTCATTTCTATCTGGAGAAGCTGAGGTGGCGGATGTAAGTCTTGAGAAGTTTGACCTACAAACCGGTTATATACTTATCCACGTCATTGTCATTTATTCATAAATTCGTGCCTTTCCGGTAGTCCTGGTCGGGTTGGTTAACATCACAAGGTGGGCTTTATCTTTTATAGTGCGTCATTACCAATCCAAATTTATGACTTTCCCCTAGAATTGATCAAGTTTGCGAGAGAACATCTCTTTGCAGGCTCTGAGAAAGACGAAAAAGTTAAAAAAGCGTTACACAACACTCAAAAAAGTACAAACTTGTTGGTTACGAGAATTATTCTGTAATTTTACGCAAAAATGGTTGGAGGACACATTGAAAGTGCGCGGCGTAAAGACACCAGCGCAACAACGAATTAACGGAGGTTATGAATTATTTGAACTTCTGCAAGTTGCATTCTTGTTTGGCGGGAGCAATTATTATTAGTCTTTTTATTATTGCGTCTCACGTTTTTTCCAGGATTACTTCGTAATGTGCGTAACTCTAGAGGTTACTTTGAAAAGTTCTCAGATGAAAATTATAAATAGTACTTTGATAAATGCTACTCTATGAAGACAAACTATAAATAGGAAGTTGGAAAATGTGAATAAAACAAACTTGTGAATACCCTATCGAAATCACATTGTATTTTCTTCGATTTCTGAGGCGACTGTTAGGGAACCAAACGATCGACCGGTCCTCGATAACATCACCTTCTCGATAGGTCCTCAATGTGATATTTTTAGGATCTACGATGCTCAGGTAGCCGGATGCGACGATTAGCATTTCCTGTAAGCAAGAATACGTTTGCGCAAATAACTTACTTTTTCCTTTGAGTAGGATTGTTCGAGAAAGAGTTTTGGAAATGTGGATCAAAAAGTATGGAAAATTTAAGCCATTGTTAATACTTTCTAGAATGCTCTACCGAGATTTACCAATCAGTGTAATCAGATCACCTTGTTCAACTCTCCCCTTGCGCAGACCACATCACCTGGACCGTAATCACGTGGTTCCAAATAAGCAGCCAGGTCTTTCAGAAATGGTGTTTCGCAGCTCTGAATTCATAGATCAGAACTATTTGTTCTTTACGACGGACAGATCCTACCTCAAACAACGGTGATGTTGTCAGAATCGTCCATTGCATATACTTGTTAACCTAAAAAAAAGTGTCGTAAAGGGTTTACCTCTTGGACTTCTAGGCATACCTGTGTATATAACTTTGGTGGCAGCGTATCCCGCATTTCTTCTTCTGTCATCTTCTCTTGTTTTGCCATTTCATATTCACAATATTTCAATACACGGCGTTGGAATTCGGCATGTAGATTTCTATAGATTACTCGCCTAATTTAAACATTACCAGTGTGGAGTGCTTCTTTCAAAAATTCTTTCAAATAACTCTCCACCTTTCCTGTTGTATATGATTTCTCGTTAGATTATTTATATGCTGTAGACACAAATCTATGTAGTCAATACTTAAGCCTTCAGGTCATCTATTAGCCACTCGATCACTTACTTACTTGCGCCTGCTTTCATACATGCAATATTTCATACATCATTGTTTAACACAAGTGTGTATATTATACATCTATAACGATTGCATAAGAGGGCTCAATTCTGGAGTTGTTTATATCGTCACTATCGTCTCTCACTATTTCTTATTTGTTAGAAAACAGTTATTTCTTCCGCTGTGCTAACAATCCTTAGTTTTTCTAAAGTTTCTAGAATCCCAGAAATTCCAATCTTTGACTTTGATCAATTGTTTGAAAATTAGGGTATTGTTTCTAATTTATCTAGTCTCATACTTCGAAGCAGACCATTGTATTGAGATTGACGAGGTGTCAATTTTATAATTCTCATAAATTTCGCGTCTTAATTTAATGTTTTAAGAAAATCTCACAAGTTCAAGAAAACTACTCTAAATCTTATAAATATAAAAGGTTTTGTCTAAAATAAGCAATTCTCTGCACAATTTAAGATATGAGCGTCACACTAATAAGCAGACAAAATAGATTTGCACTTAACAGCGCTAACAACTCGCTAACCTGTACGTCATGAATTGTTTCAAACCATCCATCCTCTGTTGCCAGTCCGCTTTCACTTTATTAGCTTTTGCTACTAGATCACCAACGCTTCCCATTATACCGGCGAACAGAACCATACCAAGGACTGTGTCCAGAATTTCAAACACAGACTGTATGGTTTCATTAGGCGACGGCTAGAATGCGGCGTCACAGTCAGATTAACAGTTAGAAGAATTAAGCGGATCACTACGTTGCAAGTCATTACAGAAGAAATTTTGTGATGAGCAGTATGTAAACTTTCTTGCCTGCTCTCCCAGCGTAGTCATTGTCAATGCAGACCAGTACATGGAAAGGGTATAAGCTTTAGTGAACGTTGAGAAACCGACTTTTATGGTCCTGAAATATTTTATTCCTAATTCGCACTTACAGGAGGAAGGTACTTAATGATAGTGATAAATACTGATATATGTAAAAGTGCCTAAAACACTGATTTAAATCTGTCTTTCTACCGTTGTGTTCCTTTCGCCAAAAAGTTATGAATTTTCTTCGTCAATGATTCAAAGACCCTGTAAAAACGTTAACAAGCTTGACTTTAGCCCAAAACAGCAGTACAAAAAGTTTGGTGTTGTAATTTTTTT